ATGAGTGTAATGTCGGGGTGAGCTTATATCTTTAAAAATGTCAATAGTTCACAAGATAGTAATGTCAGTTCTTAATTATTGATATTTTTAAAGATATAAGTTCATCTTGATGTTACAATGATCAAGAGCTTTCATTTGAGTACCCACATGCATTTTTGATATATTTTTCATATATACATATATATAAAATATATGAATATATGAAAAATTGATGTGGGTACTCAAATGAAAGGTCTCGACAAGTGTAACATCGGGATGAGCTTATATTTATAAAAGTGTCAATAGTTCACAAGATAGCAATGTCAGTTCTTAATTATTGATATTTTTAAAGATATAAGTTCATCTTGATGTTACAATCATCAAGAGCTTTCATTTGAGTACCCACATGCATTTTTGATATATTTTTCATATATACATATATATAAAATATATGAATATATGAAAAATTGATGTGGGTACTCAAATGAAAGGTCTCGATAAATGAAACATCGGGATGAGCTTATATCCTTAAAAATGTCAATAGTTCACAAGATACAAGGTCATTTCTCAATTATGTATCTAGAGATAAAGTATTTTCAAATGCAGCCTATATACTTATCATAATAAAGTGACTATCGATGAAAATAATATCAAATTTTAAAAAAGCACCAATTCCAGACCATTGCACAATGACACTAAATTTTTCTTATTCTCTTTATAATATAGATTAATTAATAATAATAATATTGAATTTATTTTTTAGCCAATTTGTTATCCGGAAGAGAATGGACAGAAATTAAATATTGAAGAGAAAAAAAATAAACCGAGAATACCTGGTGACAATATGAGAAATCAGGATAATATGAGATCATCAATGGGTCCTCAACAACGTGGTCCAGGTAATTAAAACATTTCAATAAAAAAAAATTATTTTTTTTCTTTAATTAATTAAAATTTTAGATTAATTTTTATAAAAATTTTTTTGATAAACAATAATAAAATTTGATTTTTTTATATTGATAAAAAATAAAAATAGATCATTAGACACCTTAAAAATATAAAAATTTTATTTTTATCAATTTACAGTCTTAAAAAATTAAAAAAAAAAAATTTTTATGTTAGACAACAAAAAAAAAATTGATAACTAAAAATAAAATTGTTTAAAATAAATAATGAATCTTTTAGGCGGCCCAGGAGTAATGCGAGGTGGCCAACACCCACGAGGAGGTCGCGGTGGATTTTCCCGCGACGGCCGCGGTGGAATGAGACAACCGGGAATGGGAAACACCGGTGGCTACCAAAACCGCCGTTAAAACCCAGCGTTTACTAAAATACTACCTCCGAGAAAAAGAAAAAATAATTAACGATTAACAATTTATATATTAAAATAATAATAATAAATCTTAATTAATAAATTCTTTTTTCTTTTTCCATTTTTCAATAATAATAAAACTAAAAAAATAAAAGAAATGCGTCAATACCGTTATTAATAAACAACAAATTAACTAATAATTATTATTATTAATAATAATAAGACGTATTTTACGTCTTACTACCTTCCAATAAAATTTTATAAATTAATAACGTTCAATTTTTAAACAATCGAATAGTTTAAACGTCCGCGAGTGATAACACTGGAACTGAACTATTATTATTTTTTATTATTAATAAATATTATTATTATTAGTTATTATTTATAATAATTAAATAGCTGATTTTTTTTTTTTCATAACTCGATTGTTAATTTAGCGCTTAAACGTAATTATTAATTTAATTTTAAGGCTCCAGGAAATTTATTTTTCCTATTCCTATTTTTTTTTGTTTTTTTTTCTTTTTTGACTTGAATTTATTATTTGATTTGTAATAAATGTGAAAGCAAAAAAAATAACTCGTTGTCTCTTTTTTATAATTTAAGGCGCAATTTTTCCTGGGGTCTTTGAGGAAAAATAAAGAAGAAATAGAATTGTTTTTTTTTTTTTCAAACAAGATTTTGTTAATTTTGTAACTATTTGTCGAAAAATTTATTTTTATTTTAAATAAAATATAAATGAATTTGGACAAAATTTATCGAGTTTCATTATTTAATTAGCAACCTTGCAGTCACTATGTGACTGCTATGAAAAATTATATTTTTGCTTTATTAAATAGTGACTTTTGTTAAATTACGATGTACTTTCTTAAATATTGACGTTTTTAAAGATATAAGCTCATCCTGGTGTTACACTCATCAAGAGCTTTCATTTGAGTACCCACATGCATTTTATATATATATTTCATATATTTATATATATTATATATATGAATATATGAAAAATATATCAAAAATGGATGTGGGTACTCAAATGAAAGGTCTCAATGAGTGTAACATCAAGATGAGCTTATATCTTAAAAAATATCAATATTTCACAAGATAAGAGGTCATTTCTTAATTATTGATTATTTTAAAGATATAAGCTCATCCTGATGTTACACTCATCAAGAGCTTTCATTTGAGTACCCACACGCATTTTGATATATTTTTTATATATTCATATATA